GCAGCTCCTGGCAGGATGGTCCCCCAGCAAGTGTCTCTGAGTTTCAGGAGGACTTTTCCTCCAGTTCCTGGCACAGCACAGACTCGTGTCAGCGTTTGGCCGGATGGAAGTGCCAGTGATTTCCCTTGAGGCTTCTAACCCTGCCCATTGCTGCCCACAGCAGGAGAAAATAACTCCTTTGAATGCTGTGTCCACCCTGCTGAGGTGTCATGTCCAAGGATCAATACTGGAAGGGGAGCATGGTCCTGGAGCCCTCTCTGATACTGAAATAAAGAGCTATCAGTTTTGCTTTTGAGAGTGGAAAAGGCTACTGAAAAGTTGGAACAAATTGTACATCCTTCTCTTGAAGGAGAGAGAAGAAAGGAAGGAATGGAAAGATCCTGGAGATGTGCTGGAGGGAGTCCATCAGGGCTGCCATGTCCTGCCATTGCAGGCTTTGGCTGGAATAAAAGTAAGACCTTTCGCTGCAGTGAAATGAGTTAGTGTCACTGGGAAGAGGCAGGGAACACAAATCACTTGGGAAGGGATTTGTGGAGGATCATCCCGTGCATGCTGTTTGTTCCAGGGTTCAGCATGTCACAGACCCCTGGCTGGGGAAGGAGTGGTGCTGGTGAGGTATCTTTGAGGACTATGCTCTACCTTAGAGACTTGTGGGGGCTTCTTCCCTTGAGTCTCCAGGAAATTAATTTGCCATAAGAGCAACAAGTTTTACTTTACCATCTCATGCTTGGTAGAGGCTAGACTGAAGGATCTACCACATGTAGGGAAGTTAACAGCAGCTTGACTGTTCAGATCCTTGTGGGATGAGATTCCTGAGCACTAGCAGATCTGCAGAGCAAAGGCATCATCACCTCTCACAGAAACCCACCTCATGTAGTTACTCCTTTAGGAAAAGATGTTTGTTTCTGCCCCTATCCTGGAGAATCTTTTCCCTTAGAGGGACACGAGTCCTGCCTAGATTTTAGGGCCAAGAGGCACTTCAAGCACCACCAGTTTGCTTTGTGCTCAGAACATAACAGCTTAAGCAGTATTAGACGTGGGCACGTGCACACACTTCAGTGGTCCATTGGGCAGCCTTTGCAGCAGTTCAGCATTGTTCTTGGTCTCCTTTGTCTCATTTCACTGTTTAAGGGCACACTGAAGAAAATTTCCTTGCAAATCTAATTGTGTATCTGACCACCTGTGTAAACTGTGACTTTGGCCTCTTCTTTTGAACTTTAATACAGTGTCAGGAGCGTGGAGCATAATCACAGCAGCTTCCAAGCCCTAAGAAATCCCAAAGCAGCTCCCTTGAGAGATACAGGCTCTTAATGGGTCCATCAGTAGCTCTGAGCTCATCAGTGAAGACAATTTAGCCATGGTAAAAAAAAAATAGCAATTAACTTTTGAGTTCAAGGGGCTCTTTAAAACAGAAAAAAAATTCCACACCAGTAGAAACTTTATACATGGTACCTTCATCACAAACATCTGAGCAGTGAATTCTGGAGCTCTGTTAAAGTGTAACCGCCTGCCTGAGTTAATATTTGATACAGCCATTCCTGAATCTTGTAAATATTTTTTCTGTAGCTAAGAATTGGAGTAGAAAGAGAAAATTTAATTTTTCATGAACCAGAGACTGCTGTTTTAAATTTCCATTATATGATACAGTGCCAGCACTGAGAGATCTATCTGTGCTTTTTCATTTGAGTCTAAGTATGTAGGAATAATTTAAATTATAAGCAAAAAAAACCCCTCCAAACTCTCTGTTATTCAGGGCTAGCTTTGCTTTCCACAGACCACGTATAGAACAAGAACCAGCACAAAGGGTCATAGCACTGGGCACAAAAAGATCCTGGTGGAAGCATGAGTAGAAGTTGCTCCTCTTGCACAGAACAAATCCCCATGGCCAGCAGTACAGGGGAGCCTGCAAAGACCTGCTGAGCCTGGGGAGATGGGCACCTGAGAAGAATACTGGTGTCTTGAAATACTTATCCTCTTTCTCTGTCTAGGTTGCCATGTGCTCGTGCTTGAATCAGTAAATCTCTTCCGAAAGTACATCTCCATCCTGGACGTACCCATTTCCTGCCTCCTGCCCAGAGATGCACTCTTCATACTCACAGAGGAGGAGACTGAACAAGCCAAGGTGAGATGCGTGGTACCTGGTTAACTGGTTTGAATCACTCATCATCATTGTGAAGTCTTTAGTCTGAAGTGTCATATTCACAGAGAACTCCATAAATAATTAAATACGTGGATTATAAATGTCACTAGTGAATGATCTTCAGTGATTTGTAAAACACAAATGGACAAGATGGGTTGCTTCATGTGCTGTGTGGACAGCAGGACAGTGCTGAGCAGATTGGCAGCTCAGAGATCTTCAGCAGTCACAGTGCACCGAGTTCTACACTGTGTCCAGGGTGTAGGATGTATTTCAAAGGAGACAGGATCTAACATAATATTCTGAACACGAGTGGCCTGTCAAAGAATGGCATGAATGCATGCCAGGACTAGTGTCCCTGGATCATAGCTTTAACTAAAGATGGAGACAGCTTGTGGTCCAAAGCTCTTTGAATTCCCTTCTCTGCTGTGTATTTTTTAAACTATTTTGCTGCATTTGATCTCACACATCCAGTCGACAGTTCTCTATATCAGAACCTGATTAGCTCCCCTTCCATAGTATGACAACATCTGCCCAGCAAACAGTCTTGTTAATCCACAAATTACAGAACTTTCCTGCTTTTGGGGCTGCTAAAAGCTGGAGTTATGTGTGGAAACTGTTCTGATAAAGGTGGTGTTATTCCCTTGTGTTTTTTCTTTCTGAAATCTGACCTTTCTAAGCTGGTGCCCTATAAATAGATTAAGTTTCAGCTGGCAGTGTGTGATCGGAAGCAGCATGCGAAGTGTTCTCAGATGCACACCTATCAAATTTCTGCTTCCCCAGCAAGTGAACACCCAGGCATGAGATCACATGGGAAGGAGGAGTTATATGTGACAAAGAAACTGTCACAGCACCAATGTGGAGCTGGTAATGTCCTTTCTAGCAGGACCCCTCTGAACACTCGGCAGCACACCACCAGACACAGAGGGGCAGACAGGCCTCTCCCTGCCCTTTGGTCCCATCGAGTAGGCAGCTTTCTACCTCCCACCACTTCTTCCCTGCTCACTGAAAACAGGCTGTGCTATAAATTGGCAGTGAACTTCACAGGAGGCCTAGGAAACTGCCCTCACATTAGGTCTGGAAGGTTCTTGTAACACTTTCTCTACTATTTTTCCTTCTAGAGAGCCATGCGGTGTCATCGCAGCCAGCTCCTCTGGTTTCGCCACATCTATTTGCTTTTCTCTCGTTATATGGTGGTCAATTCACTCCGCCTTCTGTAAAAGAGACATCGCTCACCACTTCATGAGTAAAAGAATAAGCAAAAAAAATACTGTGCCAGGCCCAGGACTAAAGAAAACTCACCTTTTACGTGCTCAAGAGGACAGGATTCTCTTTGTGTATCATCCTTCCAGACTACAAAAAACAGGCTGTTTGAACTTCCTTCTGAGTATCTTGTTGCCTGATGCATTGAGATGAACAGGGTTTAACAGCTACTCTATTTTCTCACTGCAGAAGCTTAAATAGGGTAAGAAATTTGGATTAACCTAATTAGGAGTCAAATGCAGGAGTATTCCACATTGAAGAAGATATGGCACAAACTGGTTTTCCCCAAGAGGATGTAGCTGTGAGGACTGCTTGGCAACTATCTCTTGGTGCTTTTGTAAAATCCAGATATCAGGAGTAACTTTTCAAAGATCATGATATCTCCACAGATAAAACCAGAACCACAAGACCTGTCTTATTCAGTCAGAACTTTAAAAAGCCAAAGCATATGAATAAAACATCAGAAATCATACAAATTTCTCTGATTGCACTGATCTTTGCTGCTACTGCTGCTTCTTTCAAACACATTGTGTTGCAGGCTCCAGCTTTGCAGATCATCCCTCATGGAACATGAGCATTTCTTCTTGCTTCAGAACATGGGGCTCGAGATCAACTCATAAGAGTCTCAACGGGACACAAGAATGAGGTGCAAGAGACCCAGATTGTAACTAGGTCTTTTATAGAGCACATGGAGATAAAAATTGCACGAGATGGATGTTTAAAAGCTATTTCACTTATGTAAAAGACAAATGCAAGAGTTAAAGATCCTCTCCCTTTATGTTAAAAGGTAAGTGAAGCAGCTTTCAGTGGTTTCATTTCTCAGCCTATACAGAGATTTTAGTAGTGGTTTGGGTTTCTGTGGGGTCATGGTGGAGCAAAGTCAGCTATTGTCAATGTTTCTGTAGGCCTTTGTGCTCATTAATGTGGGCTCACATCTACAGGAGGCATCTTTCCTGAACCTACACAGCTCATCATTGCATAGTTGAGATCAGAGCCCAAACTGCCTGATCTGTTGCTGTGGGCACCTCCTCCTCCTGAAGACAACAAACAAGTTCCTGGTTGTCCTGAAGTACGTTGTAAAGAGTACAGCAGTGCTGAACTCTGTTCCCTGGCCATGAGTCAGTGCCTAAGCATATGCTTACTCAGCCTTAAGACCATGAATAAGTTCAGTCTTAAGCAAAACAGTATTTAATCACATGAATAACTTCTGTGGTCCCTCTCCTGCATGCAGCTAAGCACCTGTGTAAATGCTTTACTGAACCTGAGCCTATGCTTTCCTGAACTTGAGCCTGCTAAGCTCTTCCAAATCCCCTTTAACTCTCAATCCATGGTCAAATCATTGAAGTCAATGGGAAAAAAAACAATGTAAGTTCATATTATGTCCTAAGCAAAAGCTTATCTGATACAGGACACTTTTATAAGCCAGAGTTGAAACTGGAACACAGGAAATATCCATACAAGCAGAGATTACTTTTTTTTTTTTAAACTTTGCTCTGTTTATTGTGATTTAAACTTTAGCACAGTTAAGAGCAAAGTATCAGAATAGCAGCCCCGGGGTGGTGTATGGAACAGAGGTAGTTTGAAAACTGAAAGTCACAAATGAATAGGACAGGCAGCATAGAGAGATTTATTTAAGAAATAGAACAGATAACAATAATGTAGAGATTGATTTTACCAGCCCTTAGCCAGGAAAGCCCAGCTACACTTCCACGGCAGCACTCCAAGCTGAGCTGCTGGAGGGGTATGTCAGGGTTTTGACATGTCTTTGATGGTCTTATGTTCCTTCACTGCCTTCTCCCATTCCTTGCCATTGATATCCTCTGTGACAATGGTCTGCACGGTGCCATCATCCAGACAGTGGGGAGCTATTCCTGGAGAAAGACAGTACATAAAAACCTGCTTTTCTCACCTAAAGTGTGGGAGATGTCTGCACCGCTCTGTGGGTCGGGCATCTCAGTCCAGCTATTGCTTGTAAGGCTGAGGAGCCTGGATGAGAAACCTGTCATGGGCAGAAGCCCACATGTCATAGATAAAACTGTTTCCTATGGAGGAGCTACAGGTTCAGACTGCAGTTCCAGATATTTAGCAGTTTAGGAACAAACTCTTAAGACACATGCTGCTCGCTGCTGTCATGTTAGTCACCAATGGAGTCTTTATCCAAGGTTTGCTTGGTAGTTAGCTTTGGTTACCAGTTTACTCCTACCTACCATAACCATCTGGATTAGAACGAGGAGTATAAAAGCTCTGCACTCCACAGGTCTTGCAGAATGTGTGCTGGGCACGATGTGTGTTGAAGGTGTATGTTGTCAAATTATCAGCACCCTAAGCAAATGAAAAGCAATGTAAGTTTTCCACATAAATAGATGTATTAATTACTTTCTGTAGGTCTGTAGCTAAGAAATGTAAAATTTAAAATACCACCTTCATGTCTTTACTTGAGATTCTGAACCCCTTTGGATATGCATTTGTACCTCCCAGTCAAGCCTGAGAACTGCAAGAGCCCTAACATCAGCTCACTAAAGATGCACTCTCACACCCACACCAAATGGCATAAAATTCAGCCATTTCCCCCAACCAGCCATAGGCAAATTTAGGACAGAAAACTGGCTGGCACTTGCATCTTTGAGGACAACACTGGATTATACTGCTCATGTTCATGGCCATGCTCTTACTGCATTCTTATTCTACCTTCAGCAGCTTGAAATGAGACGCTGGGACAATGAAGTGTCTGTTCTGTTTCTTTGTGCAAATGCTGCAACTGTAAGAGAAAAAGCAGACTTTTCTAGAAGCAGAAGACAAGTTGTAGTACAGCAATCAGATCTAGCATGGACCTCTTGACAACAGAAATTCCCCTGACAGCTAAAATGGCTCCTGCTTAGCATCACAGAGGTAAGTGGCAAACGTGGGGTATCAGTAGTGTTTGGCTAAGCACAGCCATGACAGACTGACCCTGCACAGGTACACCGATAAGGTGTTCTCCTGCACCAAACATTATACCCCATTTTTTCTTCACATATAAAACTCTCAACAGACGTAACAAGGACAAACTCTAGCCCTGAGAAATCCATTTAATCTTTCAGACCCAGACTTGGCCAATTTTGCCAACATTAATTACTTTGCAAACAAGAAAGTAAGGTTCAGTTTACCCATGAGTTAGAAGCAAACTAGTTGCAGGCAAAGGGGGATCACTTGAAATCAGACAGTGCTGTAGTTTGAAGAACACGTGGTCAGAGATGTAATGTTTACTTGAGAAGACCAAGGTAAGAAAGGATTGATGTGCTTTGAGCACACTGCACTTAGGAGAAACATAAAGCAGATGGCTGAGCACCTGTGCTTATTAGATCTGTCCTGACACTTTGTGTGTGAGAATGGATGTCAGACCTGAAGTCCTGCCCAAAAAAGCAGCACCTGAAATCACCATCACTGATCCCATATTGGATCAGGACATAATTAGGGGACTACCCTATGGAAACAGGCAGAGGTGTTCTGCAGTTGTCATCTTTTAGCTCTAAGGTATCAATTGGAAAGGCACATGAGCTTATATTCATCTATGAGAACAGGGAACAAAAAAAGAAAAAAAACTCACTTGCAGTTAAAAACATGCAGATCTGCTGAAGCCCAGACCTCAAATCGGATGGCTCCACAGTGACAGCCCCCTGTGTGTTTGACCAAACCTCTGTATTCACTGGAGAGAGAAAGAGAGAGGTTTTGTGATCAAGAAAAGCCAAGCTCTATAGTACAGTATTCAGTTCTGCTTTGAGCAATTGCAGAACACCAGAATAAGTATCCACTCAAATGTATTTTAATAAAATGTGCCAGAGTGAGATAGAGAGAATGGCTTTTGTCCTCTGCAGCAATTGCTTTTCTGGTTTAATTAAAATAGTGAAAAGGAAAGAAGAAAACCAGTTCCAGTAAAGTACACTTGGCATGCAATACAGAATTTATGGTCAGGGTCCAGGCCACAGCATTATCCATGCACAGTACATAGAAATGAGTGGTATGATCACAAGACAACCCTCTTGAAACTGGGAACTGAAATCTCCCACAATTACTCCAGCACTACTAATCTTCCTCCATTTAAAAGCTGGGAAAAGCAGAGATAAGTGTATTCTGCATAATATTTGAAATACATTTTATTTTGTATTGTAATTGCAGAGGAACTTCACCATCAAAGAATTTCTGAGCTTGTGCTTCGCCATCTCCCCTCGCCACCTCCATAGCAACAGGGCAGAATCACCACGCTGGGTCAAATGCAGAAGGCAAAGGAAAAACCTTTTCCTTTCAGATTTGAACACGGACCGTTACAGTTTACAGCCCAGGGATGATGTGCTGCTGTGCTCTGGAAAGAGAGAGCACAGGAACTGGGTGGAGATTTAGAAGCTGAACCTCACAGAGCCCGCACGGTTCCCCCAAGGGCATTTGGGATGGGACAGCCCAAAACCACGGGAAGCTTTAGCAGAACAATCCTCAGTGGTGCGTGTTGGGGATACCCCTTCCCATCCCTTCCCATCCCTCCCCACCCTTCCCTGCAGCTCTCCCGGAGCCCGGGGTTACTGCTGTGCCAGTGCTGCGGAGAGGACGATGCTCTGACGGGGGCAGGAGCCGCTGGTCAGGGGGGTTCAGCTGGGACGCTGCGGTTTGAGCCGCCCCATCCCGTACTCGCACCGGCCCGGTACTCACTAGGTGTCCAGCAGCAGCCGCGCCGTCTCCTCGCAGCTCAGCCGGTGCCGCTCCTGGAAGGCGGCCCAGCGCCCGCTCTGCGCCCCTAGATCGAAAACCCCGGGGCATGGGAGCTGTGCTTGTGCCCCCGACCCCGCCGGGGACCC